GATGGAGGTCATTCTGTAAAGGCGAGGCCTTGTCGAGGAATTTGCCCGATGATAATCGCTGGTATGCGGGAAACGATCGCTGGGAGTGAGATTAGCATGAATTAGCTAGCCTGAGCGGCAAAGCTAGTTACGTTTTCATGGTTAGATGATTAGTCTATTTAGATGATATTTTATGCGGCCGTACTGTTTGGGCGGGAGACCACATTTGATGTGTTCATTGAGCCACGCTGCCACAGTTGTCATTTGTCAGTAATTTCATTAGCACGCATGAGTGCCATCTCGCCGCGCGCGCTGATGTGTGTGTGTGTGTGTGTGTTGTGTGTTGTCGTGTGTGTGTGTCAGGGTGGGGATGACGGTGCGTCCGTTTCGCCGGTTGTGGCGTTGCGTGCTGTTGTGTGCTGCGGGGCGCTGTGTGTGCGTTGTGCTCGACTGGCCCGTGTTGCGTTCGTGCGCGTGTGCGTGTGCGTGCTGTGTGTTGCCGTGCGTGCGTGCGTGGGTGTAGCGCGCGCCGCGTGGACGCTTGGCTGTGTGTGTAGCCGGAGCCGTTGGGCCGTCTCTGCATGTGCACTGCTCTAACCCTGTGCGGTTCCAACCGCTCATTCCTCGATGACATTGAGCCCAGATCAAGATAAGAGATATATTGTCGTTTTGAACACACGATAAACATCATCTAAGCGGCCATTTCGCGCTTGCTTTTTTGACTGCTGGCAGGAAACGTGTGCACTGCATACACGCGCTCTTTATATACACAGTAGATACCGTATCTTTCGGGCAGTTGCTATGTTGTCAATCCAAATCGCATGATTTTGCGATTAGTGAGTGTTCAAGCTTCCTCAGGTCGGTTTAATACTACGGTCGCAAGCCTCACTCTAGTGCTAAGGATGTCTTCGGTGCTTGGCAAAAGCGATGTGATAGCGTCGGGCTAATTGGATAATGTCATTGGCACTATGGCATCACACGCACGAGCCTCTCGTCGTCGCGTTTAGGCTGTAGGACGCCCGAGAGGGCAGCACATTACATGCCCCGTGGGACAAAGCACGCACAGCCGTCAGTTAGTCACGTGGCATCCGTCGGCCCGCAGTCACTGATTGCGTGTTTCTTTTCGTCGGTAAGCGATGCCGGGCGAAACGTGTCCCTACCTCCGTCTGGTTATTGTACAAGTAGATCCCGTATCAATGCCACGTCTTGGCCGCGCGTCTCGCGTTGTCTCCCACACGCTGTCTCTTGATTATGCGCCACGCAGCAGCAGCTAGCAACAGCACGCCACGCAGCAGCTAGCACAGCAGAGTAGCAAGCAGCAGCAACGTAAGCGTAGCCACAGCTAGCAGCAGTCAGCCAGCAGCAGCAACAGCAGCCCAGCTAGCAGCAACAGCAGCAGTAGCAAGCCAGCGTAGCAACAACAGCAAACAGCAGCAGACAGCCGCCAGCAGCCAGCAGCAGCAGCAACCGTTCCTCTGCTGACGCATGTGCGTCAAGCGATGCGATCGAGCGATCACCTATATGCTGCATTGCTCGCTTGTTTCATCTCTGAGCCGGGCGATGCTGTGATGCCTTCCCATGATTACTTGCCATCGTATCGCTGCTAGCGTCGAACTGACTGTACTGCTGTGGCGCACTCAGTACATTGGCGACAGAAGTCATGTAAAAACTGAAAATATTAATGGAACGCACATTCACAAATAGCGCCCCTACTACGTTACCTCTCAATTAGAGTCCAACTGTTGCCGTAACCTGTATATCCACTAGGCAGCCCAAGAACAAAGCCCGCACGTACAGCACACACGCGCCATTGGCACTGTAATAAGTAATAACAAGCGTTCGTTATTATAGTCAATGGGCCGCGTCTGTGCTGTACACTTGCGGGCTTTTCTTGCCTGCCAGTGTGTGTATATCAACTTTCCTTCATAAAAAACTAACGCCGAACGCGTCCCGCACTCGCCGCTGGCGAGTGTTGCTGTGTCGCCATGATAATATCAGAGTAAGATAATATAGATCTTACTCCTGTATATATATTATATATATAAACTTTATATCAAGAGCATATAAAGAAATAAATCCTTCTCGTTATGCTCTTGATATTATCATGGCGACACAGCACACTATCGTTAGTTTTTACATGAATAAAAAGGTTTTTATGAAGGAAAGTGGATATACAGTGACGCAACAGTGGGACTGTAATTGAGCGGTACGTCCGTAGTAGCGGCCTATTTGTGAATAATGCGGCAGTTTTTACTGACTCTGTCCCAAGTGCCTGTCGTGGTGGCACTGGCACGTCTCTAACCCCTGTTAGTTTCGCTGAGAGGGTCTATGTCCCCCGGGTACTGCCGGAACGCTTACCCTGGTTACGCCGTCCGGTATACCAGAACGTACCCTTGCGTACTATCTAATATGCCGACCGTACCTCGCCTACTCCACTAACGAGTCTAGGAGTCGCCTACGCCTACTCCCTAACCCTTAACCCGAACCCCAAACCCTAACCCTAACCCTAACCCTAACCCTATAACCCTAAACCTAACCATATTGCCATATCAAATAGTGACCAGGGTACGTTCCGGTATACCGGACCGTACCCAGGGTACGTTCCGGCAGTACCCTGGGGGACATAGACCCTATGAGCGTTAGTTTCGAGCTCTCGGCTAGTCTATAGATGGAAATGCCAATAGCTTGCGTGCACGATGGATGAAATAATTCGATGCGGGTAATAGGAGATAATAGCAAGAGTAGATAACTCCTGATAATAGCAGGAGTAGATAATAGGGAATCCCTATTATCTACTCCTGCTAATAGGGATCTCTGTTATTAGCGTAATTGAATAAGGCGATCGCGCTCAGTTCAAGGTCGAAGAGTTCGAATGAAATATGTTACTATTCTATCTATTATTATTCACTCCTGAAATAATGTTGACAACAGGTTTAATAAGAAATAGTTTACACTTATGTTGTCATGAAATCCGCGTTGTATTATGAGTTTGAATCAGCGTGATCATCAGTGATCTTGCACGTAAATGATGTGGAGGCGCTTGCATTGATGTTGACGAAGGCAGTACCTTCACGAGCGTATTGATTTCATTCCAGTAACACCTGCCCTCCCGCTCCAGCACTACCACCCCTGCTCTCCCACTCCTGTCCACCCAATTGTAATTGTAAATATTGCCAGTGATCTTAATTAGTGTATTTCGGTCTTGTACTCGTAAAGGAGTTGAACAACAGTAGAGGCCGTCCATAGGCTGCAGGCCTGAATAAGCATCGAACAGAAATTAATTAAAAATACTCACACTGTTACTGCACTTACAAAACATACACTTTATTCAGGTTAAATAACTACAGATTCATGCTCTATGCTCCCCTCGAAACTTTTGCCAGCTCTATGATGCGAATTTCTGCAAAGTTGTCTGAACACATTTCATACACAAAAAACACCTACCGGTCGCTGTGACTACGCCACCTGACGGAATGTCACGAATACACAACAAGAATAATTTTACTTCTAATGCTTTCTCGACGTCCACGAGGCATCCACCTTGCGTGCATAATGCTAATTATTGCACTCTAGTGCCGAATTTCGGCCAAAAAAAAAGCCAAAAAAGCCCTTTTCTAGAGACGAAGTAGTGCAACGGGGAACAATCGCGGACGCTTACTGTTATACGCCACCTTAAAGTATGTGTGTGGTAAGTGGTGCCACCTGGCACACGCAGCAGACACTAATGCAGGCCATGAAAATCTCGGCGAGTCGGTGTGTGATGAAACAGAATCTCGGTCGTTCAGTGTATTCACTCAGAATGCAGGTGTTTGTCCGGATAGCCCTTAATAGACTACCTGTTTGCCTTACCGTGATCAATCCGTCACGATCGCGCGCATAAGTCGATTTATTTTGTGCTAGGTAATTGATTGTGTGTACATGAAAATCAGAAGACATGCCCAAAAAAATGGCATCATTGCCTGACTGCTGCTGTCCGTGCTGCTTGTCTTACTTGCTCGGGTAGGGGATGGTTCGTGTTTCCGTGATGGAGTGTTTCATATCCCCCATATAATACATTGAAACCAGTGCATTAGTTCCGGTACGGTTTCGCATGCAGGAAACTCCAAGTGATTTCCGGAGCAGTAACTCACAGGGGAGAAACGTTGGTACACCGCGAAGGCATTGTACAGGAAAGCCGATGGAGATAGTGTACTTTGATTGCATCGCAAAGATTCTGCCTGAAGGAGGAAAGTGCTGCCATCTGTCTGCCGGCATGCGCGTTCTCGCAGAGTGTAGGATTTCCGGCGACGTGTGGGCACCTTGAGCGATCTCATCTTTCTCGTAACTCGATCGACCAACCTTGTAATGACACAGACCTTACAAACACCGTCCCATCGGCTTGTTAACTTTCGTGTGCGTATATAAGCAGTAGAACTTATACTATAGTATAGTACTTTTGTATTACATAGATAAGCGTGAAGACGTCTGATCATGAAGATAGCAATCGTGTGGTTTGACCTAGCTACTGATTCACGCCCCGACTTCTGAGTTGTGTTCCCCCCGTAAGCTAGGAATCCCTTAATGGTGGTCTGACGACATTTCGTATTCGATTCCGCCGCTGCGTCGGAGTGAATTTTGAAGTACGAGGCAGAATTCTGCACAGGGGAGAGATAGTGATCCGCTAGGGGACGGCTCTGATTGGCTAATTTTGTCTCTTGTTTATTTTATTATTTATTATTTTTGGCTAATTTTGTTTTATTTTAGAATTAGGGTTAGAGTTAGGCTTAACTGATTTCTATATCCACAACTTATTTCTATATTCACTATCTCTCCCCTGATACCTACTATACGAGGCATGGCGTGTGCTCGTGGGTGCTTCTGCTTTGCTCGCGATCAATACATCGTCATCTTAACGCTGCGGCTTCTACGCCAGATTGCCGCCGCTCGTTTGCGGCGAGCCGCTCCAGGCCGAGGCGATAGTTGACGGCGGGTCAGTCTACGTGGTTGGCGCATTGATCTGTTTTCGTACGTTGTATCTACAGCT